CAGCAGAATTTGAGCGGATCTTCTCCAGGCTGAAGGCCAAGGGAGATGGCAAAGCTCCTGTCCTGGAATGTTAATGGATTAAACATTCCTCAAAAGAGAAAAAAAATTTACCACTATTTGAAACAACATAACAATGATATTATTTGCTTGCAAGAAACTCATATTACAGCTAAAGATCAAAAATATTTAAATAATCCTCGCTTGGGATCTCATTTTGTATCTCCCGCCCCTGGGAAGAAAGGGGGTGTGGTAATCTATGTTAAACAGAATTTATCTGCTACCTTGTTAGAATCAGATCCTTACGGAAGATATGTTATGCTTGAACTTGGTTTATATGGCAAGAAAATTCTTATTGTGGGGTTGTATGCACCAAACCAGCAACAGGAGCAATTTTATAGGTTACTACATCAGAAAATAACTTTGTTGGACTATAGATCTGTGATTTTAATGGGAGACTGGAATGGTGTCTTAGATATACAAATGGACAAAAAAGGCTCTTCTACCTTTTTTAAACAGGCTAAATTACCTAAAGCCTTTTTGATATGAAAGAAGATTGGGAATTGAGAGATTATTGGCGTGAACGTAATCAAGAAGAAAAGGATTTTACGTTTTTCTCAGATAGACACCAATCTCTCTCAAGAATTGATTTCTTTTTGATCACAACAGACTTATACAACAGGGTGAAGAATGTAAAAATTTTTCCTAGGACATTGTCCGATCATAGTCCAGTTTGGATGGAACTGTTTGTAGAGAAGGAAGATAGGAGATCCTGGAGGGTGAATGAGAATTTATTTAAACAAGAAAAAAATGTTCATAAATTAAAGGAATGTTTAAAGGAATATTTTACTTTAAATATGAACAAGGGAACAACAATGTCAATGGTGTGGGATGCAAGTAAAGCTTTCATGCGTGGTATTTTGATAAAAATGAATAATTTGCATAGACAGAAACAGATTCAGAAACGGAAAGACTTGGAAGAGGAGATTAAATTAAAAGAGAAACTTTTAATTTCAAATCCCTTAGATGAAAAGGTTAAAGGAGCTTTAAAATTGTTAAAAACACAATTTAACATGCTGATGGCTGATCAAGCTGCAACTAATTTGCTATTTATGAAACAAAATACATTTTGTAATGCTAATAAACCAGGGAGATGGTTGGCTTATCAGTTAAGAAAAAAACAGAAACAGAGGAATATAGATAAAATAAATTATAATGGTAAATTGGTTTATCAGAAAGAACTGATTAAGAAATCTTTTCTAGAATACTATCAAAAATTATATAAGGGTACTAATATTCAAATTACAGATATAAATAATTATTTAGGCAAAGTTAACTTTCCTAAATTAACAGAAGATCAGGAAAAAAAGATTAACGGTTTAATTACTAAGGAAGAAATTGTTACAGCTATTAAACAATTGAAATTGGGCAAAGCGCCGGGTACGGATGGGTTGACATCTATTTATTATAAAGCTTTAGTAGAAGAGATGATTCAACCGTTGTGTGAACTGTTTAATAATTTATTACAGGGGTTAGAGATCCCTCCATCCTGGCGTAATGCATTTATATCATTGATTCCAAAAGATAGTCAAGATCTTACTTTGCCTAAAAATTATAGGCCTATATCTCTTTTAAATGTGGATTATAAAATTTTTGCAAAAATTTTAGCTAACAGGCTTATGGGGATCTTGCAGCAGTTTATACATAGGGATCAATCGGGTTTTATAACTGGAAGGTATATGAAGAATAACGTTAGACAAATTATTAATTTATTAGAGTATTTAGAAAAGAATAACCAAGTCTCTGCAGGCCTGATATTTTTGGATGCTGAAAAAGCCTTTGACCAAGTGAATTGGCAGTTTATGCTGTGTTTAATCAAGGAGATGAATTTTGGACAAAATATATTACAAGTATTATCCAATATATATCAAAAACAGACTGCTCAAATTATTGTAAATGGGGGTTTGTCAGAGGCTTTTGTAATAGAAAAAGGAACAAGACAGGGATGCCCGTTGTCTCCGTTATTGTTTGTTTTAACACTGGAAATTTTGTTGATTAAAATTCGGGAGTCTCAAGAAATAAAAGGAATAGAAATTAATAAAAAAGAATATAAATTAAGAGCCTTTGCAGATGACTTGGTTGTTACTTTGTCTCAACCTGTTTCTTCGGTGGTGAAATTATTACAATTGATTCAACAATATGGACGTGTTTCTGGCTTTAAAATTAATAATAATAAGACCAAAATATTAGCTAAAAATATGACTAATGGTGATAAACAGGCTCTAGTTAACTTAACAGACTTTGAAATTGTTGATAAGGTAAAATATTTGGGGGTTACATTATCTGCTTCTAATGTAAAATTGTATAAAAATAATTATGAAAAGCTGTGGATGGAGGTACAGAAGGATTTAAAAAACTGGAATAATTTACAGTTATCCCTTATGGGCAGAATTGCAGTTATTAAAATGAATGTCCTGCCAAAGTTTATTTTTTTGTTTCAAATGTTACCTATTTTAAAGAACGAACGTAATTTAGATGAATGGCAAAAAGGTATTAATAAATTTGTTTGGGCAGGGAAAAAACCAAGGGTGAAACTTAAAATAATGCAAGATTTTCGTGAGAGAGGTGGACTCAAGGTACCAAATATGAAATTGTATTATGATGCTGTAGTATTGACATTGATTAGCGACTGGGTGAATTTAACAAATACAGAAATACTTCATTTGGAAGGCTGGGACCTACTTTTTGGATGGCATGCCTATTTAATATTTAATAAAAAAGTGGATTGGGTTTTTAAGTCTCATATTATAAGAAACTCTTTGCTAAGAGTGTGGAGAAAGTATTATAAAAGTGACTTCAAAATACCATTATGGGCTATACCTCGGCATGCCATAGAAGGTATAAGGAAAGGGGTAAATATGGACAAGGTCTCTTACGTACAGTTACTAAGATGGGATGGCCAAGACTGGCAGTTAAAATCTTTGGAAGAATTAACACATGAAAATTTAACTTATTCATGGTTCCAATATAGACAAATAGTGGATAGATGGAAGATGGATTGTAAAATGGGCTGGCTTAGAGAAGATGAAATTTTTTTAAAACAAGTAAGAGATCAAAGGCCAACCCATATTAAGAGAGTTTATGGGGTTTTAGTGGAATTAGATTCAGAACCTGAACTAGTTAAAGATTGTATGATTAAATGGGCACAGAATATTGGTGAAACGATTTCAATGGATACTTGGGAACTTATTTGGATAAGAAATGTTAAATTCACACAAGCGCAAAATTTAAGAGAGAATTTTTATAAGATGTTTTATAGATGGCACCTTGACCCAAAGAAAATGTCCATTATGTACCCTAATCTACAGCCGAAATGCTGGAGATGTGGATATTTGGATGCTACCTATTACCATATTTGGTGGACGTGTAAGCATATAAAAGCTTTTTGGATTAAGATATGGTGGAATATTCAAAGAATTTTTAAAAGGAGGGTAAAATTTACTCCGCAATTATTTTTACTAGGTATTGTTATTGACTGTGATGCTAAGGAGGTTATATTGATGTTAAATTTGATTACAGCCGCTAGGTTGTTAATAGGACAATATTGGAAGAAGGAATCTTTGCCTACTTTACAAGAATGGTTTCATAAAGTTTCGTATTTGGCAGAAATGGCAAAGATTTCGGCTTTCTTAAAGGAGCAATCTCAAGAAAAATTTTTTGCGGTATGGGAAAAATGGATAAATTTTATACAACATAATTTGGATATGGAAAAATATTATTTAGCCTTTTTATAATTTGTAATGATTGTTTTTTCTCTCTTTCTTTCTTCTTTTTCTTTTTTATATATATACATTTTTTACGTATTATTATTCATATAATTTTTTTTTATATATATGTTTTATTCTTCGTCTACTTTCTTCTTTCTTCTTTCCCTCTCTCTCTTCTTTTTTCATTTTTTTTTCCTTTTTAGTATATATTATTCATTTTAAAGTTTATGTTATGTATATTATTATTATATATATTATTACTGTGATTTTTATTATTATTATTAATTATTTTATAAATTGCAAATGTTATTTTTAAAAAATTTGTTAAATAATCCTATATTCAGTTCTGGGAAGTCGGGGGGGGGGGTGGGGTGGTTGGGGAGGGGGGGGTGGATTCTTATTTGTAAAACTTTTGAAAAATTTCAATAAAAAAAAAAAAAAAAAGTAAGTATTATGTGTACCATCCCTTTAAGTAGTTGAAACACGGGGATTTCCCCCCCCCCCAAGGAATCAGAATTGCACAATTAGTTATTACTGAAAAAATGACCTATCTTTGTTTCCAAGCGTTCAAATATCTGTCTCCACTATTTATTTGAATCCCAAGCTGTGCAAGCCTAGATCTGACCTTCTGATAGAACTGAAAGTAGGAGCAAGAATTATTGCCAAACAGTAACACTTTATATTAGTAAAGCTATCCAGAGTTGCTGGGAATTAGGCAGCGTATAAATTTAAGAAATTAGTATTACTGATACTATAATTAAAAATGTGGTAGAATGACTAAAGCATGTATATTTTAAGGGTTCCTTATGAATCACTGATCTGTTATATCATTTGACCAAATAGTGTGTGTGTGTGTGTGTGTGTGTGTGTGTGTGTACACACACACCCCACCAGAATGTAGATTTTGGTACAACTTTAGGCATTAAAAAAAAATTAACACAGCAAAGTGCAGCTAATTTTACAACTTGACATATTATTGTAAAAATGTAATTATGACTTCAAACATAATTTGTTCCATTCAAACTACCTAAATGTTTTCATTTCTTCTGCTATATGTATATTTCCTATAAAAATGCTACTTGCATCTCTCTAGTCAGAACAGTTGCAGAAAGTTTTCAGATGCTAAATATACTCCAAACAGAATACTTAATATTATTGTCAGATTTTATAACACTCAAGAATTAAAGCTAACTTTTAGTTCATTTTCACAAAAAACTCTGTCTGGATAACATGTACCTCTATTGTGGGATGTGTATTATGCTTGTAGGCAGTATACAGAGGAAACTGGATCTGAAAGATTTTTGCAACACAAAGCAAGAGTTTTTCCTTCTCCTCAGTGCTCCATATGCTAAAGGCATCAGAACCTTCTGCAGATTCTTCTTCTGTCAGGATACAAGTTCTCCCAGAATCTTTTTTTTCTTCTGTAGTTTTATGTCTATCTTCATCCTCTTCTTCTCCACGAGTTGCTCTTTCTACATTCAATGGCTCATCAGAGGCATTATTTTCATCTTGCCATGTTGAACCTAAGTTAATAGTGCAATGTTTATACAGCTGGTCCCGAAGAGCCTGTACTTGAGCAATCACTAGATTTATAAGTGCACACACAACTTGATTGAAAATCTCCAAATGCTTATATTCCTTGAAACAGCATAGACACTGCCTGTTTAAAAAAAGATAAATAAAAATTAAAATTCAGAGTTCTCAAATAACTGTGCTAACTACATTAGATTATAGATGAATAACATGGGATTCTTCTGATTTTGCTGAATTACATTTTCCAGCATCCCTCACTACTGAGCGAGGGGACTTGTGAGTTCAGCAGTTTCTATAGGGCTACATGTTGCTGAACTACATACTCATAAAATCTGGCACTGCAAATTTATATATGTCTTAATTTAAGGATTCTTAATTTTTGTATTTATGATTTTAAATAAAGCAGATATACAAATAGAATTCAAATACTTGGTATTTCAAAAACTATTAACATTAAACTGTGTATCTTTAAATAATATGTATTATGTCCAGTACCACACAGGTAGACCTATACTAGCAAGAGCAGTTAGACCAAGGGTCGGCAACCTTAAACACTCAAAGAGCAACTTGGACCCGTTTCTCACAGAAAAAAAAAAACACTGGGAGCAACAAAACCCTTTTGACATTTAAATTGAAGATAATACTGCATATATCCTTTTTTACCTTTATGCTATGTATAAACAAACTATAGTGTATTGCATTTATGGAATGAACTGCTACAAAGAAAACAATTTTTATGCTGGAGAAAGAGGGGGAAAAACTCTTTCTCCTTCACATCCCAGGTGAAAACAATTTTATAACTTATCTACCATCTTTAAATACAGCATAATTATCCCCATACCTCATCTCTTAATTTAAAAAAAATCAAAATATTTCATTAAACGTTCTTTACTAAAAGTCCAGTAAGGACAACATATATTCTCTCTCTCTCTCTCTCTCTCTCTCTCTCTCTCTCTCTCTCTCTCTCTCTCTCTCTCTCTCTCTCTCCTCTCCCCCTCTCTCTCCCTCTTTCCTCTTCCTCTCTCTTTCCTTTCCCTCCCTCTATCTCTTTCTCTCTCTCTCTCTCTCCTCTCTCCCCCCCCTCTCTTCGATCTTCTGCTCACCTGGCCAGCTGGCCTCACGCTGTTCTCCGACAAGCTACACACATTCTTATTGGGCTGGCTCTCTCCTGCCCTTGGTCTGCCAGTCCTCTTCCTCCACTAAGTAAAAGTGTGTGTGTGAGAGAGAGGGGAGGGAGGGAGGGAGGGAGGGAGGGAGAGAGAGAGAGAGAGAGAGAGAGAGAGCGCCTCTCTCTGTCTCTCTCTGCAAATGGCGGAGGACTGGGAGGCGCAGTAGAAGGCTGAAAGAGCCACATGCGGTTCCAGAGCCGCGGGTTGCCGATCCATAAGCTAGACATATATACTGCTTCACAGTACTTTACAGCCCTCTAAGTGGTTTATAGAGCCAGCTTTTGCCCCAACAATCTGTTCCTCATTTTACCAAGTTCGGAAGGATGGAAGGCTGAGTCAACCTTGAGCCACTGAACTCCTGGCAGTGAATAAAGTCAGGCTGCAATACTGCATTCTATCCACTATGTCATCATGGCTGAAATTCTTTTCAATCTTTCCCATTCAATTGTATCTTTCTACATAGGGCCCACTAAACTACCAGAGTAGATTTTAGAAGTATCTATTCCTTTGACAGTTGCTTTTCTAGCAGACAACATTAGATGCAAGTGATACTTCATTTTTAAAAAGTGAGTTTTTCAAACAACTTTCTCAAATATGCTAAACAAGAGTCACTTCATATATGGTGCCTGTAACACTGGAAAGAAGAGACAGTTCATGCTAGTGTTTACTTTTTCTTTGCATTAAGTGAGAGTCCAACAATCCCCTTCACTTCAACATTCTGCAAATAAAGAGGATGGGGGTTCATCTGTTGTGCCCAACATAAATTTTTCCATCAGGTAAGGAAACAAGATGCAATTTTGTTATATTAAACAGGCACAACAGAAGCAGTCAATACCATAACACTGATGGCTGGACATACTAATAACCTATATCCATGGTGGCACGTGTGCCGTCACCCCAGTCCTGGGCCTTCAGCTGAGTTTTATAAGACCTTTTCACTTTAGGCCAGTGGTTCTCAACCTTTCTAATGCTGTGACCCCATAATACAGTTCCCCATGTTGTGGTGACCCCCAACCACTTATACATCACCGGGTGCCAGGGGCGTGGCCAAAGAAAAGGGGAAAAAAATGGCGGACAGCCTTGTTTGGCGATCCCCGTGAAATGGTTGTTCGACCCCAAATGGGGTCCCGACCCACAGGTTGAGAACCACTGCTTTAGGCCTCAGCCGTGGTGTGCCAAAAAAAAAAAAAGTTCAATCAATCAATCAAATTCAAGATCTCAAAAAGTTGTAATTGATTGATTAAATTTTTTAGTCCCACCCAGTCTGCCGTTACCACCGCAGCAATGCCCACCCAATGGGCCATGCCTACCCAATTGGCCACATCCACCCAATGGGCCATGCCCACCCAGCACCCAACGATATATAAGTGGGTTTTGGGTTGCTGTTTGGGCACTCGGTCTCTAAAAGATTCGCCATCACTGACCTATATATATGCCAATAACAGTATTCCACTGAAACTATAAAGATACAATTGATTCATTTAAAATATGCTCAACCATGAAGGGAATAGTGACAAACATTAATTGGCAATGGTGCTGAAATTACTTTGAAACAATCTGTTAGTAGTGAAAATTCTGCTCTGATATAGAAAATTCTGCCAGATATTTACCACACAGCCATGAATAGTAGTACTTGCAGGCCACATACTGACTTAGAAAGCTACATGTTTATATATTTATTTTTATCAATATGTTAACACATTAAAATCAGATAGAAATTAGATATAACTGATGTATATTAAAAGGCAAGTTTTTAAGATGCTGAAAAAATTCAGACCAAGATAAATCACTTCAGAATTTTTTCAGCCTTTAATATAACATATAAGCAGTTAAAAAAGTGTAGTGTCCTACAAACTGAAAAACTGATGCAACAGTCTCCCGCCCAAAAAAATCTATTGTACTTTTACCAAAATTCAAGTAAAAGTTACCATGTAAACCAAAATGATTTATTTGTTTAATACAGAATAACAAACAAAATGTATTATTTTTAGATCAACTTCTCCATATTTACTACTTTTACTATTCAGATTGCCTATATACAAACACATATCTACCGTATATGCCGGCGTATAAGGCGACTTCCGCAAGCATTAAAATTGGCGCCAAAGACGGGGGTCTTATACGCAGAGTCGTCTTATACGCCGGAAATACTGGTAGTTTCCGGTGTATAAGACGATGTTCTAGGAATGCGACTCGGCGCCAAAGATGGGGGTCTTATACGCCGGGTCGCCTAATATGCTGGCATATATGGTACGTAAATGCATCATCAATAAGGGGTACTTAAAAAACAGACTTACCTTTGTGTCCAAGAATTGATATAAGCAAAAATCTTGAGTGCATGCTCCTTTCTGAGTTGCAAGCCATCACCACCATCAGTATCTGATACTAAAGGAAAAATAATGGTAGTATTAGTGTCATGAAATGTCATTTTTAAAATTTCTTATATACTCTATGTCAGTGGTGGCGAACCTATGGCACAGGTGCCAGAGGTGGCACTCAGAGCCCTCTCTGTGGGTACACGCACTATCACCCCAGTCCTAGGCCTTCAGCTGGGTTTTATAAAAACCTTTTCGCTTTAGGCCTCCGCCGCCGTGTGCAAAAAAAAAAAAAAAGGTTCAATCAGTCAGTCAATTTCAACTTCTCGCGGGAAACAAAAAAGATCTTGCAAAGTTGGAATTGATTGATTGAACTTTTTAGTCCCACCCAGTCTGCCGTTACCACTGCAGTCACACTCACCCAATGGGCTACACCCACCCAATTAGCCACATCCAGCCAATGGCCACACCCACCCGACACCCAATGATGCATAAGTGGGTTTTGGGTTGCAGTTTGGGCACTCGGTCTCTAAAAAGTTCGCCATCACTGCTCTATGTCTATGGAGATTCCCAGTCATCCAGGTCCTGGTTGTCCCAAAGGTGCTTTTTCAGGAGGCAACTGGACTTTGTTTTGTTTTTTTGTTTTTGAAGACATTTTGCTTCTCATCCAGGAAGTTTCTTCAGCTCTGACTGATGATGGAGAATGGAAGGATTTATATTCCTTCCAAACAGCTGGTCATTTGCATTTGCACTTCAGTTTGAGATGCAGACAACACAGACTCATCCCCAATATCCTGCACGTGTCTTCAACAATGAAGGGACACAGGGCAGAAAACACCCTTCAGCCAAGGTTCTACACACATCTGCACTACTCAGGTGACCCTGAAGATACAGATGAACCTCCAAAATAGCTTCAACAACTCTCTAAAAGAATGCAAATGACCAGCTGTCTGCAAGGAATAAATCTTTCCATTCCCCACCATCCAGTCAGAGCTGAAGAAGCTTCTTGGATGAGAAGCAAAATGTCTTCAAAGAAAAACAAGAAAGTCCAGTTGCCTCTTAAGAAATATATACTCTTTACTATAAATGGATAAATGACAATTTAAAAATTTCAGGAACATTAAAAATGTTGTTCCCATATTTTAAATTTTTCAACATATTAAGATTTAAACTAATCTGTAGAAAAGTTGTGTCAAACAAATGAGACCACTAATATACTTGCCGGCCACATATTGATTTAGAAAGCCACACATTTATAGATTTATTTATATCAATACATTAACACATTAAAATCAGACAGAAACAAGATACAACTAATATATATTAAAAGGCAGGTTTTTAAGGTTAAAAAAAATAGGACCAAGATAAATCAGTTCAGAATTTTTTCCACCTTTAATACAGGTAGTCCTCGAGTTACAAGTATAATGGAGCCTGCCCATTCCACTCGTAACTTGAAAACTGTAGAGTGAATCTCGTATCTCTAATGAGATCACTCCCTTGCTTGTTAAGACTACATGCTCATTAAGTGCACATGAGGTATCTCAGGGTGGGGAATGCCAGGGGAAGGCTAGTGATGGAATAGGCTCCCAAGGCCTCCCCGACCCACTAAGATACTTTATGCTTCCCCCTCCCTTCCTGCTGAGCCAGACTCACTTACCTTGAAAAGATCCATCTCTTCTTTGCCGTGGTTTCTGCCTTTGAGGGAGAGGAGAGTCGATGGAAGCTCCTGGGTGCCTGTAATATCGCACAAGTTCAGGCACCAATCCTCTTTTGCAGAGAATGGGAGACTGAACTCTCGCGGTGTTTGCTCCCACCCCCAACTCTTTGTCACCACTGCCAGAACAATTTTCACCAAGATAGAGACCTTGGGGAAACTAGAAGCTTCGTCTGCATGCAAATGCACGCTTTGGGGGAGTGAGGAGCAGATGGGGAACTGTCTGCTCTGGCCATCGCTGTCTCCCCCCACCAAAATCAGGGCTTGGAGGCTTGTTTTCGCTGGAAAAAGTCATTTCTCAAGCTCCTGACAAAAACAAGATTCTGGAGCGAGCACGCCTCACTCTTATTGACAGCAATCCTGCAAAAACAAGCCTCCAGAGCGAGCCGGCCTTATTGAGAGCAATCTTACTCTGCGCCTCCATTTCCTTTCACTCAGACGGAGCAGACAAACTCATGTCTGCCACTCAAACATCTTTCATCCGAATGGAGACCAGAGTCACACAGAGTTTCAAGCAGTCACATGGAGCATTCCTTTCCGTTCCTAAAGTACCTCACTGCAGGCACACAGACCTTCCAATCTCTCTCAGGTCTGTGTTTGAGCAGCAGCAGCTTGAGTTTCTCCGCTCCGTCCCAAAGGAAGAAACCAGAAACGCAGAGCAGGATTGTTCTCAATAAGCTGCATGCGCCAGGCTTATTGAGAGACTCCGTTTCCTTTCACTCAGAGTAGAGAAACTCAAGCCGCTGCCGCTCAATGAGTGAGTGAGGAGGAGGAGAGTCGTGAGGATTTGTGCCAGCTGGCCAGGTGAGGACTAGGTCAGGTAGGCTGGCTGGCTGGCTAGGGAGTGGGATCATGGCCGCTCAGGTGGTCGTCACTGCTGCCAGCTTGGATGCGGGTGCAAGGGACCTGGCCCCGCAATGCCTCCCCACTCAGTTGAAGGCTTGTTCCTGCCCTCAAACTAAGGCTGACGCATGTGAGCAAGCAGCGCACCCAGGCCATGGACAGCATTGGTTCCTGCACCTGGCCGATTCCGATTCCACGCTTTGCCCCATAGGCATGTAAACAAAGCAAACACTTCTCCCCCCCCAGAGAATGGAAGCTTCCGGGGACCATGATCTCTTTTGCAGAGAATTTGTGTTTGAACTTGCATAATATTATGACACTCAGGAGCTTCCATTGTTGGTGTGAAAAGCATTTCCAATCCAATTCTCCTCTCCCTCAAAGAGAAAGAAACCAAGGAAGAGAGGAGACAGATTTTGCAAGGTAAGTGAGTCTGGCGCGGCAGGAAGGGGGAAGCAGTTGTGGGGAGCAGGGAGAGGAATAGGGTGAATATTGCAGAGTCTCTGTGGTCACTCATAACTGCAAACAACTGCTGTGGTGCTGCAATAGTCGTAAATTTTGGGATTTGCTTGTAAACAATAGAGGGCACTGATAACGTAACTTCAACGAGCGTTAAGTAAACACTCATAACTCGGGGATTATCTGTATAACATATAAGAAATTGAAAAACAAATTGAAATCTTTTAGGAGTAAAAATAACAATTAAAACTAGAATAATGTGGCTGCCATGGGTGATTTACTTAACTACAACTAAGACTTCCATTATAAGTCAGTATGCTCATGTGATGTTTTGCTTAACTACTGCTTTACTTAACAGAACTGTCAGTCCCAATTTGGGTTCTTAAGCAAGCACTACTTGTACTTATACCATCACAACCATTTAACCCAGCGGTTCTCAACCTGTGGGTCGTGACCCCATTTGGGGTCGAACGACCATTTCACGGGGGTCGCCAAACAACGCAGTCCACCATTTTTCCCCCTTTTCCTTAGCTGTGCTACTCCCTTATTCTATTGGCTTTTGAAAGCCAATAGAATAGACTCTATTCAAGAGACTCTATTCTATTGGCGTTCGAAAGCCAATAGAATCTATTGGTTTTCGAAAGCCAATAGAATAGACTCTCTTGAATAGAGTCTAATTCTATTGGCTTTCAAAAGCCAATAGAAATTGTCCAGGCTGTCTCTGCCCTGCTGAGCCCGCCAAAAGCCCCAGTCTGCAAACGGTGCTGCAAGTTGTCTGCAGCTAAGGTGAGGTTTCTGGACGTTTCCACCCCTCCCTGTTGAGCAACTACTAAATGTAAGTAAAAGAGGGCCAGGGGTGGGAGGTGGACGGGCGCAGGGAGGGTTGCTGGCGCGTGTGGGGTCTGGCGGATGGCTTACCTCCCTTGGGCTGGGCCGGCTGGTGGCCCAGCTGGTGGTCGGCCTGCACCCTTGCTGCTGCGTGTCATGTCCGCCCAGGAGCACCTGGGCCTGCCTGCCGTCGCACCAAACGTGCGGTGGCCAAGGTAAGGCTAGCGGGGCAGCAGCGGGTGCAGGGACGGTTGCTGGCGCGCGTGGGGCCCGGCGGGTGGTTTACCTCCCTTGGGCTGGGCCAGCTGGTGGCCCAGCCGGTGGTCGGCCTGCGCCGTCGCTGCCGCTTGCCAGCTATGCCTCGGCCGGCGCAGGAAGCGGCACCACGCATGCGTGGCGCTCCCGGGCCAAGGCGGTTGCTGGGCGACGGCCCGCATGCAGCCGCAGGAGAGGAGGCGCAGCGTGCGCGCCTCCTCCTGCCCCGCCCACAGAGAAACACAGGTAGTCCTCGACTTACGACCACATGGTTGGGGCCGCGGCATTAGGAAGGTTGAAAACCACTGATTTAACCATAGGAAACGCTAAAGTGAAGTAATGTAAAAAAATATACTGATTCCAGAATGGAAAAAATTATTCCAGTCCTGAGGGTTTACTTATAGAAGCTGTTCCTAAAATGACATAGTTCAGAGGGAGAAATAAGCATTTCAGATTTCTCTGGAACTTTTTATGAAACCAATACCTTTTGCATACCTCTAAATGCAGAGCTATTGCCTCTTGATGTGTGATTGATACAGCAAGCAGTTGGAGCTATGACAGCAATTAATGAATTCAAGCTAGTACACAACCTCAATTACTCTAACATACTGCTCTTTTCTTGTCAATGAAGACATAATTCTAAAAAACCCATGTTACAAGACTAAAGTTAACTCATCTCAAAATAAGTTGCAATTTATTGCAATATATAAAGTTGGTATCACCTACATCCGTCGTCGTCCAATGAAACAAAGTCCAGGCAGGCGGGTACAAGATGTTTAGCAAGGTTTATTCCTGGCAAATGAAAAGTCAGCACTGGGAGTGGTTTGCTCCCAATGCTTTATATAAAGTGCCCCGCTCTACAGCCCCACCCCCAGCAGCAAGCCAGCATCCGCCCAGAGCATGTAAAATACCCTAGGTCCCTTTCCGGCCTTCCCTCAGCCCGACCACACCTCGCTGGCCCTCCATCCAGTCCT